TTGATCCTCCTCTTCCTCATTCGGTACGCACCTTCTCCCAGGTCCTCAGTCCGTCGTGCTTCTGGAACTCGCGTTGCCAGTAAGGCACTTTGTTCTCGCGCATAACCCAGCTACCGACTGTTAGTACCGAGCTCTGTGCGGAAAGGCGGAGGAGTGTGCGAGGCCACGGCGGCGCGGTACAGAGCCCACGGCCACGGCCACAGCTCCAGGGTGGACGTACCCAGCCATTTTGAAGAGTGTAGATGTGTATTGCGCGGCTTGCGGGGGCAATTGGTGGTTTCGTGGATTGGGCGGTTTCGTGATGTCGCGAGGTCGAACGATCCGCCGGCGAAAGGAAGTCGGCCGCCAAGGCCCTTGTCCGCTTTAGGCGCAACAACTTTCCGCATCTTCAATTCGGGCAGAGACAACTGCGACGCCAATGGACTGATTTCGCCCTTCGCCCCTGTCTCGTTGATGCCGCCGGCCCTGGACAGGCTCCTCGCCAGTCCGTCTGCTCTGCGACTCCTGCGCTCCATCGTCAATGCCCCCGAATTCCCCGCGGCATGTTCGATAGCCACAAATTGCTGCTCCTCAGTAGTAGCCCGCCGCCGCAACTACTCGTACCAGCCCAAGTCTCAGTCCAAACTACAATGGAGGCGAATGACAGATGCCCGCAAGGAAGCACAAGTTCGAGGCCAAGTGCGAGAAGCACTCGAGAATGACGATGCCAACGATACCCCCGTACCGACCATTGATGTCTTTGACAACGACGTCATACGTGTAGCAAAAAGAGAAGACGATCCCAGACAACTCGCCGTCGTGCTCGCAAGCGAAGAGAGACTGCATGGAGCCAAGGGCGTCCGCAATGTCTGGCGAAACATCCGTCATCGAGGGTACCGCCTGCCTACAGAAGACACCCCAGATGCCGAATTTCTATGGGGGACTTTTGTCAGGAATCATTTGCTCACAGGCAAAGCGATCGAGCGTGCTGAAGAGTTACTCCATGAGACGGGCAAGACATACCCTCATCTCTACCGTCTCGTTATGAGCCACTGGCTTCCGAGGAGAGCACAGACAGCGTTGAGATATCATTACACGCTGCAGAGGAACCTGAAACCCCAGCGGCTTCCCTTACGGCAGTTGGCACATTTGGGACGATCGACTTTCAAGCACGCTGCATACGAAGCCCTCAAGGAAATATACGAACACAGCAACGAGCGAGACCTCTACGACGAGGTGGTACCTGTCTTCATCGAGAAGGGAGATATCACCGCCGCACGCCAATGGCATGCGCTTTGCACTCTTCGCAATGATATGCCGTCAGAGTCTGTCGCGTTGCACCCTGTTGTTCGGCTGTTCATCGTCGAGGCATCAGCTGGTGATGTCTACTTTGAGACAAAAGGAGCGACGAAGAAATGGAAGCGGGATCCAGCCAGGTACAACGAGACTCTTCTGCGCCGCTTGAAAGGCCCCGACACCGCACCGGTTCGATTCGAAGACTCGTTTGTCGCTCGTATGTTCGCAACCCGCACTTTTCCAGCGGCTTCCATTATACAAGGGCTCTCTATGGTGGGAGTGAACGAGATTGGACCTCAGGCTGTCCTCACCATGGCACTACAAACGCAGCAGGTCGAGGAGCTACCTAAGAGATTTGAAGAGCTCCGGTCAGCAGGTATTGCCTTACAGGGCTGCGTCTTCTCCCTAGCATTGGAGAAATTCGTAATGGAGCAGAAATGGCAGTTGGTGCGCAGTATGTTGACAAGCGACCAGCATCCAGATGTCTTCGGCGACGCCAAAGTACAACGCAAGCTGCTCGGATACTATCTTGATAACAACGACTATGCCCAAGTCCAGCGCACGCTTGCCATTCTGACGCTCTTCCACAATGATGCCAGCCAAGAGTCCTGGAATCTTCTCTTGCAGGCCTATGTCAAACGTTCTGGGCCAACACATATCATGGAAGTGCTCCAAGACATGCGCGCACGTGGCATTATGTTGACAGCCGAATCAATCGTGGCCATCCGTAGTCTACTACGCCGCCGCCAACCAGGACGCAAACCCGTCGGCAACCGTTTCGATGACTTGCGTTTTGTCACACGAGTATTTGTAATGATTCTCGAGAACGGTTTAGGTGTCGTTTCTCCGCTACAATGGCGTGAGATCATCCGAAGATATGGCATGACCGGCAGACTAAGAGAGCTTAGACGAGTTCTCATCTGGCTTCTCTGTTGGTATGCGCCGAGGAGCAGTCATCAATTCAACCACTTGCCAAAGTCACCCTTCTTGGAATCGGCCACAGCAAAATGGCGCGCTGCCCATCCCGAGCGTGGCCACTGGTTTCACTTTCCAGCGATGGTAACACAGATCAACTCGTCGCATCCTGTGCGGCAGCTATTCCCTCCATCCCTACAGCAAGGTCTTATTGTATGGGGCTTCAAAGCTGGGCTCCTGCCAAACGCTCATCTAGAACAGTCCATACTCCAGTCTGCGCTTGCTAAAAAACACTATCGTCGTCGGTTACTTGAGCACGGGACTTTGCGTCAGCTGGAGTGGAGTATAGGCTTGCGAATTGTGGTGCTGCTACGGGATCTTGGCGTCTTCGTTCACTACCACACAGTTCTCAAGGCCCTGCAAATGCAGTTTGTCAATATGTTTGGTCACGGCCGGTCGAACCGGAAAGAAAACAGGGTGATGGAGAGAGCTAACACGCTTCCCTACGCTAGATACGTTGATGAGGTCAACAAGATATGGGGCAGTCCGCTATTGAGAGAGCCTCAGCTTTTCAGCAAAGGTATGGTGCATGACCATATGTGGCACCCACGCATGAGGCGGACTACCAAACGCAGAACCTCCATCGGTCTTGGTGAGATTCTGGGTTCACAGTGGATGAATCGCAGCAATGAAGGGCGTAGCCCTACCAAGGAGGATGATGCCGCCGCTCTTGAACAGCTACAGAAGCACTTCGACGCGCAGGCTCAAGCCATGGAATCCGTATCTGAGCCACAACCTCAATCTACGGTAACTGGCGACGCGTTTAATGCGACAGCAGGGACGGGCGACAGAACCCTACACTTACCAATAATCACGGATGACGACCTCAAGGCATAGCCTCGCCACGTTACTTGGAGAATATATACAGCAACCCCTCCGATCCTGGGGTTGAGCTAGTGTATTCAATGATATAAATGCTTGACTTACATGCTGCTTTCAATGCAAGGATCTTGTCTCGATTTGTTTTTACAGTCATCTGAAGTGTGAAGGTCCAGATGATGAACCTCATCTACGGGACGCTTTGCGAGTTTGTATCTGTCTTGAAGCAAATGAATCCAGTCGCATAGCACTAAAGCTTCGAGGCTCTCTGCAGTGGCAAAAATCCTGGCAAAAAGTAGATCGTGTGGCTGGATTCAATGCAAAAGCCTTGGTTCTCACGACGATGAGTCGTTCAATTACTAGTGCTCGCAAGAAGGCCCATCACTTGCTGTGGGAAGGAGAAGACACTTTAGAATTCGCTCTTGTGCGACACTTCCCTGCTGACCCCTTCACCTTCTTTCCCACCACCGCTTCCGGCCAGCCTGACTGCGATAGTAGGCTTGTGCACCAGCGTCTGTAGCACAACACAATATCTCTCCGTCAGCTTGCCCAACTTTTCCACTTCTTCCTCGCTGACCTCTCTACCATCTTCTCTCTCACCGAACTTGACCGCAAACTCTAGCCGAATGCCGGTCATGCCAACGGGTGCCGTTCTGTCCACGCCCAGTGTGCCCTTGAAGTCTAGGTCCCCTTCTGCAGTGATGGTACCGGATGCGATTGGAATGCCGAGTGCGGTGGCTACAGCCTTTAGAGTAACGCCGGAGCAGGCTACGAGGGCATCGAGTAACATGTCCCCAGAACAGAGTTCCCCAGAGATGGCTGGGTCGTCGCCGCCAGCCTTTTGATGCAGGCCGGCTACTCTATGTGCTTCCTTCACAGCAGGACCGTCGGATAGCTTGCATGTTATTGAATGATCGTCGAGAGAACCGGTAGATTTTAGGGTGACAACGGCGGAGGAGGGGTCGCTGCGGTAGCCGTCTTTGATTGGGGCTTGCTTCTGGCGGAGCGCTTGAGCGGCGGACATGGTTGCTTTATGTCGAACGTGAGACTGGGAGTGAAGGATGGCTAAACCCTGTGTCTACTGTAGGATGAGCGAGATTTTTACCATAGCACCTATTTAAAAAGTCAAGGTCAGCCTATACATCATTATGAAGCATACCCCGCAAGGGGCAGGTCGAAGCTCCGCAGCCCCGCTTCGCCGCTGGTGCGAACGATCAAACAGGAAGGAGGGGACGCTCGGTCAAGACGTTGGCTCAAAGTGCCATGTCAAGGAATTAAAAATCACGTGCTGATGAGCGTGTTTGAGTTGGATGAGGTGAAGAAGAAATGGCGCGGCCTGCTCAGATCAAAAGTACCACTAAACACGTGCAGCTTCGCGATAAGCGACGCGCCTGCGGCACGCGTCTTCCGACCAGGTCAACGTCATTTCTCGTCACGGATCTCGACAGCACAGTCTACATAACCCGAAATGGGAATGAAAACTGCTGCCTTTGTAGGAAGTACCTACCACCGACACATTATTCCTTCGAGGAATTTCTACGGCAAAATGTACCTACCTGACTAAGATCCGATTTGAGGTGGTTGGTGACTGTCGCATTGTACTAGGGGGCCTGGGAAGTATATCGAAGTACCTCATGCACATCTTCCACAAAGCTACACAGACCGACAGAACTTGGGTATGGCAGAACAAGCCTAAGTGCAGCGCAGCTCCAAGTAGCGCGGCAATTAGGGATCTGATTGTTGAAGAAGATTGAAGTACCATTCAGTTCCATCTCTTCATCCTTAATGATGAAGGCTTGCGCAGTTTGACATCTTAGCTAAGTACTACTCCATCTGCCATGTGAATAGACACCTGGAGCAACTAGCATTCAGAAAGATCGGAATCGGATGCGCCATGTGCATATCGCCGAATGGCCTTGCCTACTTGATATTCACAATTGGTCCCAGCGGCAATCGACAGACTTGATCTTGTCCTGTTTCATTGTCAGTTAGAAAAACTATATCGAGATTTGGCACATGCCCACAATACTCACATTCCAGCCAATGGTCGCAGGATTGGTCGCAAGATTGCCAACCGAGCCGTGGAGGAAGAGGGATCTAGCCGTGGGTTCACAGTGACCAGTACTAGTTCGAGTCAGTGTCGCATCACTGATAGATCTACTGGGTGAGACGCGCCTGTAGAAGAAGCAATAAAACTTCCGCCCATGGTTAGGCGCACCGTCGGGGCAAACGTCGAAGCGAATTGAGGATGGCTCGATAGTGACTGTAGATTGAACTTGGTATGTGTCCATACTTGTCTTCTGTGTTTAACAAGGTCATGCAACTGTTCATGCCATCCCTGCAGTGGTAGGCCGTCACGACACTGCCTTTGTAGTTGGTGTGCTGGTAGAAATGAACCTGTAATGATTAGAGAAATGGGCGAACGCTGATAACACGTACATACATTTGACGCACTACGATCCCAATCTGCGGCGTTAACGTCGGTAGCGTCTCTTGCGTTGTGGGCACTGGACTCAATAACCGGCGCACGCGCAGGTATGATCACGTTGCTGAGATCAACGACCGCCGGCTCATCACCGAGCTCGATCGTAGTGCCATCAATCTTGTTTAGAGTAAGAGCCGCTACAGCCGAAAGAAAAGTTATAAGGAGAGTGAAGAGACGCATATTTGCTGGGTAAAGGTCCTGTTGCGGTTGTGGTTTGATGGATAAACCTGGAAGGCAGTGGGTTCGAGTTCGAGTTGTTCGTGAGAGAACTTCGGAATGAGAACAATGATGGAGGTACAGTAGTACAAACAGAACAACTACGAGTGAAGGAGGGCTGTCCGGTGAGTGAGCGTTTGCCTAGAATGAGGTCTCGGTACCTGGATGATAGGGTCACGTATGAACTCGTTTGACCGCGCGTATTACTGAGTCAACCACCACGCGAAAAGCCCTAGTCGCGACGCTCACTGGCATTTTCACTCCATATTTTGGTCAATTGAACTCGTTTGCGTCCATGTCATCAGTTGTATGACCACATAGCGACGTACACAGAAAAGGCCAAAATCCCAGGAGCGCTGACGAGTAGACCATGAATCCGCTCGCTTGAGGGGTCCATTATCCTGCAAGTGTGTATGAACCATTGGACACCGTCTTGCTTTGTAGAGCGATGAGTTTCTGCCTCATTGGTGCGAGAAGTGAGCAACGAGAGTCGCTTCATCAGTAAAAGCTGGAGGCGCCTAGTCAAGCGATGGGCGCTAAGGCTTAATTCGGTGTTGAAATCTTATTGGCGGCCTCACACCACCTATACGTGTAGGCAGTGATCATCCTTAGTAATATCAAAACTCGCAACCTCGGCAACAGACTTTCACCATGACGATACATCCGTCAAGGATTTGTAATCTGCTTACCGTTCTCCCTCAACCTCCATGGAGACAGCCTCTGGATTGGGACCTTAGGATGACCTGGGAATGCGAAAAACGTGTGTTCTTCCCGGCATACGTGAAGCAGCGTGACACCAGTAACCCGTCGCAACGCTCGCTCGGTAGCTTCCCCCATTTCCAAAGGCTTCCTGCCGAGCTACAGGTTCGCATTCTTTCTTGCTGTCCAGCGTCAACCCTATGGCAGCTCATGCGTGTGTCTTCCACGCTACGCATCGAATCTTCGAAACTATTCTGGGCAAGCCCAAGCGCCTCGTTCCTCCTATCTGCCGACTGGCTATTGGGAGGTGGCTACGCTGGACGTACTTATCACGACCTTTCATTCCTTCGCCACGTACAGAACGTAGAGATTGAATGCCACTGTCTGCACGATGAGCTTTGGCCAGAACACGAGGTGAATGATCCGTTCAGCTCTGAAGATGTACGGCAAGATGTGGTGGATATCATGTGGGCTACTTTGAGGAAGACATGTCCAAGGATTAAGAGCGTGGTGTTCAACCACCAGAAGATAATGTCCTCAATAGACTTAGAGGGGGCTGAAAATGTGCCGGAATGTTTGAAAGCGTTGATACAAGCTTGTCCGAGGAATATCGTTGCAGAAGTATCCACCGTGGAGCAGAGAGAAGGACGTTATTGGAACAATGGCACCTACAGCGATTTCTACGACGTAGAATGCAGGAGAGCACACTATCGGCCTCTGAAGGGTGGAGGCTGGGAAGAACTCGTGTCGAAAGCTAAGCAGGACGCAGTGCTGGTACCTGGACGACGATTTCGTGGAATAGTCGGGCAGTTTGAGAAAAATTACTTCCTTTTTAGGAGAAGGGTCCTCCAGGAACGTGCGTTCTGGCCCCTTGTTATCGAAGCTTTGGATCGATACCACTTCGATGATGGAAGGAACAATGCTTTCCAGTGTCCAAAAGTAGACTGTGGTTCAGTATTTACCAAACCAGGTGAATTGACAATACATGCAGCAACTACAAAACATGGTTGGGCCAAAGTAGAGGATGGTTTATTCGACATACTACCCCCAGAATTGAGAGCTGTATTTGAGACCAAGTTCAGTCTGATAGAGGCCAAGCAACAAACATCGGAGGAGGAGTCTACTAAGATGTCCAAGGATTGGAACGAAGAAGGGGAGGAGAGGAGAAAAGAGATGGAACAAGAATTCCTTCAACAACTAGAGAATGATGCAGATTGGGCAACAGGGGAGCAGGCAGTGGATCATCAGATCTGGAAAAACTTTATCAGGATAATGCATCCGGAATGGAATGGATTGTAATGCTGACCCATGTGGATGTGCATGGCAATGTGCCAGGGACGCGACGTATCCATAAAGGACGGGATGTGCTATAGACTGAAGCATGCGGGTACCTTGCTGCAGAGGCGGTGTATTCTGCCGCCGGGATGCCATCTAGAGTGCACAGGACAAACCATCGGTCGGTTTCGACTGGGCAGTTCAAAGGGTTGCATGGTGGTCGGACGATGCAGGTTTCTGTGGATCTTTTGGAGTCGCATAGATGTATTGTTGATTATACACGATCAGTAATACCATGTATACACATCAGCAGGTTTTGCAAGATCTGGCAATGGGTTTACTCAACAGACTGTCAACGGTACCTTACTCCACATTGAATGGGTCCATACTCGAGCGCATGTGCCGAATTAGTCGGTCGGACACCGACTCTGCAGTCTCGAACCATCGGACCGTAAAAGTCCTCGCTCCTCGTGCGCTACTGGATGCGTTCTTCTGCAAATTTTGAGCCTCATCCCGCGCAGAAGTCGACTCGAAGCACGCGTGGGCCATTCGGAGCCACCGCGGCTGTCCAGAACAGGCAAACCGACCGCCACTATAGCGCGATGTCGCGTGTGCTCCGTTTTGAAAGTCAGCAACTGGCATGCCCCACGTGCTGAAGTCGGGGGAGGTCGGAGGTGGATCGAGAAATCGGTGGTGGAGAGGCCGCGGAGGGCTGAGTCGTGCCATGGGGCGAGGCGCGAGGCGCGACAGCAAGGCGTTCAGCGTTCGAGACGGGAGCCGGCCTGACGTCATGGGTGGCCGTCTAAACTTCGATAAACAGGCTAAGACGCGTGGCGCAGCTTGGCAAGAGCGATCAGCACAGCTTGGTGTGCCTTCTTTGATGCTTGGAAGAAGGGCGGGGGCTTATGTTGGAGGCTTAAAAGCCAAGTTGTGCTGTCGCGAACGCTTCATGCCATGGGGACATGCCCTTGGAAAACATGCAATGGAGTCGCGGATGACGTAGCGCGACAGGTCGCATATGGTAGCGAGTGAAGGACGGCAACACAACCCGCGCCTCTTGTTGGATACGAAAAACGTCTTCGCTTCGACCAACGTCTGTTTAGCATTCGACCCATTTTTAATGCTACATTGCCTAGTCTAAGAGATCTGGGGCCAATCTCCAACGGCCTCCAACACGAACGCGCCATAGCGCCAAAGCCCTGTCAGCGTGAAAGATGCGATATGACGTCTCGAGGATTCGAGCGCGTGCCCTGTGATGCGCACAGTATGCACTGCATGCTTTGGAGCGTGCACCTCCGCCTCCACATGCACTGTGTTATAAGCTGTTTCCTCCGCCTGTGTGACGTCTGGATTTTCTCATTCAACCCCAGCTTCCTGGATCCGGTCCCCGCAACTAGTCCCCCAGGTTGACCACTCTCAACCGATCACCGCCCAAGCGCATTGTTGTCGACAACATGGCTTCCGCGGCAGAAATTAGGCCTGACATTCACGATGCAGACACTGTCAGCAAGAACGAGGCTGGCGACGCCGAAAAGAAGAGCGCTTCCGACGGCGATCACCATCACGCTGAGAATCCTACCGATCATGCGCTTACTGCTGCCGACAAGGAACACTACGAGAAGTACGGCACCTACGACCGCTACGAAATCACCGAGGAAGACTGTTACGACGAGCTTGGCTTTTGCTTTCCAACATGGAAGAAGTGGACCATTCTTAGCATCGTCTTTATGGTCCAGGTCAGCATGAACTTCAACACGTCGTTGTACAGCAACGCTGTGACGGGTATCTCAGAGGAGTTCAGCGTCAGTGCCCAGGCGGCGCGTCTGGGTGCGGCTCTCTTCCTCGTCGCCTACGCGTTCGGTTGTGAGCTCTGGGCGCCTTGGAGTGAAGAGCTAGGACGATGGCCTATCCTCCAGCTCAGTCTGTTCTTTGTCAACATATGGCAAATTCCTGTGGGCATCGCGCCCAACTTTGGGACCATTCTTGCGTTTCGTACGCTCGGTGGTCTCTCCACTGCCGGTGGTTCTGTAACTCTTGCTATGGTGGCTGACATGTGGGAACCGTGAGTACACCACACATTCTTTGCGTTATCTTGCTAACAATTTCAGTGACAATCAACAATACGCCGTCGCTTTCATCGTCTTCTCCTCCGTCGGTGGTTCCGTACTAGGCCCCATTGTGGGCGGTTTCGTCGAACAATTTCTCGCTTGGAGGTGGAATATCTGGATTCAGTTAATATTTGGTGGCGCTGTCCAAATTGCTCACGCCATCTTCGTCCCCGAGACCCGTACAACAGTCCTCATGGACCGCATTGCCAAGAAGCGCCGTACAGAAGGCGAAAAGAGCGGCAAGCCAAACAACATTTGGGGACCCAACGAGCTCAAGACGTTCAAAGAGCGCTTCAGTGTACACGAGATTCTCGTTACCTGGGTGCGTCCGTTCCGCATGTTCGTTACGGAACCCATTGTGCTCGTCCTCTCCCTACTTTCCGGTTTCTCTGATGCCATCATCTTCATGTTCTTGCAGTCTTATGCGCTTGTGTACGCTCAGTGGAACTTTGCACCCTTCGCCATTGGACTGACTTTCGTCGCCATCGGCATTGGCTACTTCATCGCCTGGTTCTCCTTTTTCCCAGCCATCAAGCGTAACGAGCGCCTCCGTCGTGATCATCCCGATGATGAGCGCTCCCAATACGAGGCCCGCCTCTGGTGGTTGCTGTACACTGCTCCATGCCTTCCTATCGGCCTTATCATCTTCGCTTGGACGAGCACCGGCCCGCCAATTCACTGGATGGGATCTCTAGTCGGATCAGCAATCATTGGAATAGCCAACTACGCCATCTACATGGCCACCATTGACTACATGATCTGCGCCTACGGTCCATACTCAGCGTCGGCGACTGGTGGTAACGGCTGGGCTCGTGATTTCCTCGCTGGTGTCCTCACGCTCCCCGCCACACCATTCTTCCAGAACATCGGCGGAGATCTGCATCTCGCATATGCCTCGACCATTCTCTTCGGTATATCTCTCCTTCTAGTAGTTTCGGTCTACGTTATCTACTGGAAGGGCCCTGAACTCAGGAAGCGCAGTCCTTTTGCCCAGCAACTCAGTGCTGCTCGCGACGAGACCGGTGGTCGTCGCGTCAGCAGCCTTCCAGGCGTGTACGGTTCTCGCGCAAACTCTTTGGCACAACAAGGAGGCTCGATGCCCACTTCTCGCAGGGGCAGTGTAGTGCGTGGCGTTCCGGGAGGTGAAAACAGATACGAGATGCACCGCAGACAGAGTGCGCGCAGCACTGGAGTCGCTTAAGCACTGTCTTCGTTTTTCACCTATGTGCAGACGATTAGCCTAATAGAATCTTAATGTTCATGAATTAATCGTGTTTTGTGCTAGAGTGATGGTGACGAAGCACGGCCCAGCGTTTGTTTTCCATGCTGGTTGTTACATAATCAGATCCGCCCTAGCCTTTCAAGCGTCGTTCGTGGTAACACCTTTTGCGACATCTCCGCACGACTTTCTTGCAAGTAAAAAATAATCGCGATCACTATTTCGTGACTTGTTCCTCCATTGTGATAACGAGACGGCCGACACGACGGCCTGCACACCCTTTCCGCGTGTAGCAATAGGCGCCTGCTGCAAAGACCACAATCCGGCCTAGCACGTCTATATTGAAGCACAACAAACGTAACGCCATATCGCAAGTATTTTCTTTCGATGTAGAAGTTGGCGTTCGGCGAGGAAATCTCGTATTCTCCATTTTGACATCATACGACTGCGTTCGGCACTGTCTTCGGAATTACTTCCTCTGGGTTCGCGAGTGCGTCTGCAACACCTATGACAGGAAGTCCATCCTCTTCAGCGGTGCTCTTCTTTGAAAAGAAGTGCCTAACCTTCTCCTCAATATCAATACCCTTGGCCTGCCATTCGACTCCCTCTTCGAACTCATCGAAAGTTTCTCCAGCTTCTTTTGCGCGCTTACGGATCCCACGAGTTCGGATTAACCAAATCATGTGTGAAGCGACCATGCTCATCTCGATTGCGCAGCTACACGCCATTAGTCTTCTTCTCAATGATTGTTCCTTAACTAGCACATACCATAGTGCGTACATCGTGCCAAAGAGCACATCAAACTCGTTCTGGGTTACCAGAGCCATCAGAGAGAAGAATGCGCCGTTCCAGTCGATGGCCAAGAATATGAAATCAATACCCACAACGCGACCTCGTCTTTTGAGCAGCTCAAATGGGATAGGCATATAACCTGCGATAAGGGTGAGGAAAGCGACAATGCCAATCAATAAGACTGGCCATTCTAGACCTCTCGAGTATGGCTTTCGAATAGCATATACAAGCCCGGTTTCTATCCCTGCAAAGCAAATCAGAAGCGACAATAGCAGGAGCGAGGCTGTCCAGGTCCGCCATTTCCTAGTTTCTGTCAGTTTTGCATTTTCGAAAGGCATGACCGTCTTAGTACCGGAACTTACCTGCTATATACAAGACACTGCGCCCAACTCACACCGCACAACACACAGAAGCACTGCGGTTGGACGATGAGAGGGATGTTGAATTGCTGTGTAATGGCATACACACCAAAGGGTACACCGCTGATAGACCATAGAAGCATCATAGATTCGGGTAGTCCCACAGTAGACTTGGTTCTCCAGTTTCTGTATATCTGAGGTACCAATTGGACGCACCAACATATTGTGCCAATGGTGCCAAGCACGTTGGCAGCTGGGGGTATCGAAGTTTGCGGCGCCATAGTGGTAGAAATCAGGTTGCGAGGGAGGCAGCGACCTAGTAATGCAATTACCGAGGGTGCGTGTATCGAAGGTATCACGTAGCTGATATGAGAGGTACAATGTCTTACAACCATCGGTGGCGAACTAGCACGTTGAAATACTGGGCTACTGCTTAGCCCTCAGCTTATCCGATGACAGTGCGAATTCGAAGCGGCTCATCTGCCGAATCGCCTATGAGCACATTGTAGCAAAACTCTTCGACCGCCGGCTTGTTCTCCGCTCTATCTGTGAATGAGAATTGCATACCTATGACTAGTGGTTTCGGCGTTCGCTTGGTTCCGTGCCATGGGTAGAAGCCAGCACGCTACACGAGTCTGGTAGTAAAATAGCACGCCGTGCATGCTGTGCTGATCACTTTCTCCACTATTCTCTTCGATTGGTAACCCAAATAGTAAACTCTCGGTATACTACCCGAATAACTGTTGACGCCCGCGGAACGCTTACTTAGATGAACTCCTGGCTATTTGAATGTAGTGATTGACTTGACTCAAGAACGCCCTCGAGATATCGTATTGCTGTTCTATCAGCGCCTTTATTTCATGAGCTATGTACATGCTTTTCCTCACTGCAGTTCCCAATACGTGTGCAGTGGCTCGTGAAGTTTTAGGCAGATAATCAACAGGGCAAGTTCAACGCACATAAATTCGTATTGAAGAAACAGATTCATTAGCTCTAATCGAATCCACAACCTGATGTGAGTAGGCAGAGTAGACACTTCTATCGTTATACAATCACCTGCTATCACGGTTGCTTCTTGGATACTTTCATGTTTGTTTTTCTTGTGTAGAAATTCGCCAATACGTGAAATATCATCCTGCATCACTTGTAATTACAGGTTCACTGTAACAGTAAGCGATGGTAGTACCATCTGGACCAACGAAGAAAAAGTGAACGAGACGAGTGCATTCAGTCATATATGATTGCGTGCGCAGCTTTTCTAAAGGCCTATAATCTATTACTCTCTACCTTTGTATGGAGAGCAAACCTCTCTGTCATCGGCATATGGTCAACACTTCAATACAATACACTTGTAATCTTCTTCCTCGTAAATCTTGAGTACTAAAGCAAAGTCGAGCCGAACCTTGCCTAGGAGAATTTCGCCCAACAAGCACAATGGTCTTCTAAGGCAGCTGAGTACTCCCTTCCAAGATAGCCACACCAGCCCGCCTTGTCGACTTCTTATCTCTTCCCGCTAAGTCACAGAGCAAGATGCGCAAACGTATTCTTGCCGCTGCCCTCAAGGAGTCTAATCCGATAATTCTGCACCATACGCCGGGCCTCGCTTCTCTTGCAAGCAATTTGCCTCCAAGTTTAAGTACGAGTGAGCTAAGGACTATAAGTTTTGTCTCCAGTAGCTTGCAGAGGTATAAACCTTTGGGTGTTAACCACCACGAAGTATTCCCACGCAGTCCGTCTTCTTATCGTTGTTTTGGTAATAAGCCAACGGTCCAAACCTTTTCCCTCGCCATCCAATATTCGGCATTAGTGGAATGAAGAATTTCTACACGATGAGACCCCCATATCCGGCATGTCATCTCATAGCCATGCGGCAAGATATCTGACACAATCGCCTCGCGTATTGACTTCCAAACGCAGAAAGTGGTTGTTCTCCCCACCGTTCCACCATAACAACCCGTCAGATTGATTCTTTCGGCCCTTTGGACGATCTTCTTTTTGAGATATCGAGAAACGAGGCGGAAGACCTCCAAGGTTGCCAAGCGAGAATACAACTATGAAGAACTTTGTGGCGCATTTGGTGGGCGAACCCAGTCGTCTCGATCGTGACGAATCATCTTGTACTTCCTATCGGAAGTATTAGAGTATAGGCACCAGCACGACACAGCTGGGCACACGCAGGAGGCGGTGTGAAGATGAACATCAGCCCACCTGCTGATACCAAAACAAGAAGTGGATGGATCAGCTGAGAGCGGCCAACAGTACAGCCAGACACAAACGTTTGCGGTCGAGAAGATAGTGAATCCAGAACTGTTAATCTTCCGTTCAGTAAAACTTTACGGCTGCCAAAGATTGGTTATGTGTTCTGGTATTTCTTTGGTGAAAACTTTGCTGTTGCATACCAACGAATGTAAGCCGAGATTCGTGATGTAATAATTAAACAAGATATTCTCAAGCTATCTCGAACCGTGTTCATAGCGGAGAATACGTGCATGGGCCTGATGTTATGTCTTAATGAAGGGAAAGATCATTTCGACGATTATGTAAGATACACTCAGCGCTAACAGAGTGCTGCCGATCTTGACATACGTCATCTCTTCCGCACCCCCGGTGCCAGTGACGATCAAAGCACAGAGTACGAGATGGGCTGCTCTGTTGCCCGTCTACATATTGCTTTTCTGACAGCTGAACCGCAGTCACACTCATTCGTACTAGCAAGTTGTTGACACTTGATTTTGCGACTGCCTTTTCCCACGCAATGACAGTAAATGTGACTGATAATTGGCGCGCTCGGCCGGAGGCGCAATGGAGCATGAAAACCACCGAGCTCCGCAACCTTAAACCACGCACAGAGATGGTTTTGGCTGATGTTGAGGAGAAGCAAACCAAAGCCACCACGTCTCAAGTATGGCTTATCCAATCAGCACTGGCGGGCAGGGCGCCCGACTCCTATTGACAACACAAGCAACGTCATCAAGTGCTGCTCGCTGCTCGAGGCATCTCAAGCGATCCAATTCAATTGTGCCAGACACATTGTTCATGTTGGCATATATCCTGTGGCGCAGCGTTTGAATGTCACCAGAATCGCAACGCCTATCAGCGCATAGCACAGACGTACACGGGCCCCAAGCGACGCCGGATATCTCCATCCTGAACTTTGTGGGGTAGCGCAATCGGCTCCGCGATTTCCCCAGTAGTGCAAGCCACCGGCCAGTGCAAGCAGCGAAATTTTCTTGATAGTCCCCAGGGCTCTACCTGACATCTCACTATGCATTCCACGGCATCCGCACTGAATGCCTCCTAAGAGTCCTCATGGGCGACAAGTTCGCTGCACCTCCAGGTTTTACTGCTTGGGGACCATTTGTCCGCGACAATTATACTCCCATACTTGTGACCCGCACCGATATAGCCTTAGCAGCTGCAGCGTTTGGTCTGGCCAACTTCTTCGCCATAACCGCAGCTTTCATCGGCGTTAGACAGACAAAATCATGTCGGCGCCCAGGGACTAGCGCATATATCTGGATGATCTGGCTGGAGATTGCTGCTTCAGTGGCTATCTCTATCGAGTGTCTGTTGTATTTGTTGAGGATTATAAGGCCTAGCTTTTACTTCTTCATGTCTGTCTGCAAGTATACCACGGTCCTAGCATCTGTACTTGACTGACATCAGCAGTGCTATGCTGGGTCATTCAGATTCAGCTGCTTCCTCAAATTATCATTAATCGTATTCGTATCATTCTCCAAGATCGGGTAAGAGGACGACGTCTCATAATAGGTACCGCAATCTATGTGACTTTGATCAATATCAGCGTTTTCATAATCTGGATACCCGCACGGCTTCAGATCAGCCCAAGGTGAATTCAATGGTTCAAGCTTCACGATATCCGCTGATGATGACAGATGGGTTCATATCAATGCCATCTGGGACCGCACCGAAAAAGTGCTGTTTCTTCTCCTCGACGCGTATCTTAATTGGTACTTCATCCGCGTTGTAAATGCGGATCTGGTCAAGAATGGCCTGACCAAGTACAACCGCTTGGTCCGTTTTAACAAGCGTATCATCGTTGTCTCTCTCCTGCTAGACGTTATGATCATTGGTGCGATGAGTATCCCCAACGGATTTGTGTAAGTCTAGCGCATGCCTGAGCCTCTCAAATCCAGTTTCGCTGACCCCTGAAGCTACGCTATGTTTCACCCGCTCGCATACTTAGTCAAGCTCAACATCGAGATGTCTATGGCGCATCTCATCAAAACCATCGCCTTAGGCCATCCGCACCCTAACAATGACCCTTCACTACTATTGACCTTCTCATCTTCACCTGGCGAAGACATGTTCAGCACCAACATCTTTGCAGAAGCGCCACGGCAACGACATTCGCTCATCCGGGGTCTGTTTGGTAGCGAGCATATCGTCTTTTCGCAAGAAGATGTTCGCACCAGGGTTCCTGGACATAGTTCTACACGCAGTGCATCAATACCTGACTACGAACTGCCGCCTTGGAAATCTAAAGCCGACAAGGAACCCGACAACGTCGCTAGCGATAACCTCAGTGCTAGTGAAGGCAGGAAAAGTAGCAATGCCTGTGAAAATTGCTGGCGCTGGGACAGTGGCGTCTCAAGCAACACTAGAAATCTGGAAGGATTAGATGATGTCTCCACGCCAGAGGCCGCTCACCTACCTGCTCATCGTCGTATGTCAGAGTTAGGCTGAATTTCTCTATCGAGCTACGATGTCGCGGAGACGAAATTACTCAAGGATCTGACGTACGCATCCTGTCGACACTTCTGCGCCTTTCTTTCCGCCACCAACGACGGGTTTCCGTGTACAAAACGCCAGTAAACACTCAGGGGTAGCATAGGCTCAGTCCTTGACGGCCCTACTGGTAATTACACGAGCTGGCATGAGGACATGACTCCGAAATCGACTGGTTCCTGATGCGAACCTCATTACCCCAACAATGAGCACCTTTGCACGCAATCCCTCTTCGTACAGGAGACACCAGGCTTCATATAAGAAAGTCATGTTACACAGCGGTGCTGCATCCGACGAGTATAAGACAGTCGTTATCCAGGAGCCCGTTCTGCACGAAACTTGGACTCCACAATGATGTCAAAGAACGACGCAAAAGCGTGCTGTGCTTGCATCCAAGCACTCTCACCTACCATGAGTGTGCACGCAGCTACCAGAAACCACATCGTTCACATTCAATCTAGCATGGAAGCTAAATGTGCTGTTGCGGAATTACTTGACCAGAGTGCAACGAATTTGGCCTCATCGTTGTCAAGGTCCCGTCTCTGTCTGAGACCTAACCAACGCAAAATTCTTGTTCAGTGTAAATCATTGGTCATGCAACGACACTCCACACGTGCTACGGGCGGCTGCTCGGTCGTACACTCTCAGGGCGACGGTGTCCGCTGTATTTCTCACAAACTATTGACACAGAATGCAACCACATATATGTGCCACAATACTCCTGGCTTAGAGTGTCACTTCGCAAGCCAGCCAGTTAGATATAAGTACTACTTAAAGTCGGCGGTACAAGCGCTGTAGGCGATCAATATTGTGCAACGAGCATGATGCGAGAGGAAACAGATGCGTGGTATGCACAGCCGAAGATCGAAGTCAATCGACTAAAAGAGAAAACCTTCCCGTCTGGTGCTCTGTACCTTTCCCAGTGCCACGCTGTCGCCTGGTACCACGCAGGCAGCGCGCAAGTATCATGATGTGACGAAGACGTGCGATGTCTGAATCTTTGTATATATTCTAGCATAGCTCTACTGCACCACGCTGCTTGATACTTTAATACATGCATCTTCAACTTTCCAGAAGTCACTTTTACCGATATAGAAACTATACCAACGTTTCCTACATACACGGCAAGTTCTCGAGATGAAGTGCCCGTTCTGTTTCATTGTCTTCGTCGCCTTCGTCACAGCCAAAGATATCCGAGACAAGACACCATCTGAACTTCACAACGAAGATCCATACGCTACGTCACTTTTGTGTAAGTAACCACAATCTACTAAATAGAGTAGTAGGATCTGATAACTCTAGACTCGGTCCCCGCTCCATCCCTGGGCTACCCTGAGCCGTCTTCCGATGTTATCGCTCCCAGTGCAATACCCAGCGACGTCAGCTCTGATGATGGGTGCTCCACGGCCCTCATCACTATCACGACTACTCGTACCGTCTCCATCGTCACACAAATCCCTTCCAGCCTTCTCACTGTTACTGGCATTGTCGAACTAAGCTCTTTCATGCCGTCTCAGCCGCTGCCTCCGACAACCGCAACTGGCGTCATCGAGACCACCAGCTGGATCGTTCCTCAGCTACCGAGCACGGCCGTCACGGTCATTGTTCCGGGTAGCAGTGCCGCCGATGAGGAGAGTAGTGTTGTGCTCTCGCAAATCCCCTATCCTACTGCTAGTGATAAGCCACTCAGCACTACTAGCGTAGGAACAACCTCTTCTAAATCTCCAGGTCTACCGGTGTTTACTGATGCTGCTGATGCGATCAGGGTACCAGTCGTTGTTGCTGGTATTATCTGGTGGGTTGCTTTGGTGTTGTAGGTGCGAGTACATATGGTTGTTGCAGTATGGAAGAAGAGGCAGGTAGCAATGTCACATGTCGAATTTGGTTCTACCCGAGGCCTGATTTAAGGAGCGTGTTCGCGTTGCTCTGCTAGACTACTCTCGTCCATTTTGCTCACCAACAGCCATTGATGGTATCATCTATCTAAGAACGATAGTGAATCGGCTGACACTTGTCGTTAGGCACGCTCGAATTGCTGACTCTCGACACTCGCCGCCAAGACGACTTGAATGCCGATTTCACGATGCCTCTCTATGCCTGCCAGTTGCCATCCTGAGCCTGAAGAGCACGAGCAATAGCTTCGTCGTTAGCTGAGTCGGAATCAGCTCCAATCTGCGCCTCCTCGCCAGAAAGAGCGATAGCACCCTGCCTATTGCTAGTCATGCAGCAAGAATAGAACAAGCTAGCCCAGAGGAAGACCCTGTGCACGCGGATCAATCAGCATAGACACCTATCATACCTGGATGCGGAGGACTTACCAGTTGAAGAAGTTCAACCAAAGCAGCAGTCCCTGCCACTTATTGATCTTGACTCCACTGATCCACAGCCCCTGCTGTCCCGCACGATGAGCATCTCCTTTTGTCGGCGTACTAGCAACATGGCCAATGAAACCTACGATGGACATGCCGAACGCAGCAGCCATCTTGAGGATCTGGTACTTGACATATTTCTGCTTGGACAGAGTACCGGCGGCGGCGCGTCTTTGTTCTCGGACGATGAGGAAGATTGTCGTTGCCGAAGTCAAAATGGGGGTATAGAGGAGACTAAGAGTGAAAACCTTGCGCTGGACAGGGAAGACAAGCGTGATGAAGACGGCGAAGATACTAAGGGCTGCGATGGCGATTTGGCAGCCTTGTATGATGCGTAGACGGGGAGAGGCATCGCGTGGGAGGCCGAGGCCGAAAGAGGGCATCTTGATAGAAGGCATACCGAGTCTTTCGTGATTGTAAGAGAGGGATGAAACGGGTGTAAGCGGACAAGGCGGGACTTACAGCGCTCTTTATGGAGGGGCTAGCATCTTCACCGGTTGCGCCTCAGGAACAATAAGGACGATTACCCCTGCAGCCACAAAATGTCGAAACCCCAAATTTGGTATTTTCCCATACTCGACTCGTGTCTCCTTGTTAGATGGGGTGCGCGATTGGCTTAGATGCCTGGAAACGGGGCGCGCGTTGCCGGAAGCGCTTCGCGTAGTTTAGGCGGCCAGCATGGCGTAGGCGCAGACGTCGTGTCAGGCTGTCAGCACACGACCTGGGATCTGGCGAGAGAGGCTAAGAGCGTGTATGTGTTGGTGTATTGAATATGTAGCCCAGCGATCCTTATGGTGGTGGCGAGCGATTGAAGCGGCTCGTTGCTTGAAGATAGTTTACGTGCTGAGTCGTCAGCAGTGCTATCAAATTCCACGAGTGCGACGAAGGTCCCAGCCGTCTTTGTGCTATCGCCACCACTCGAGCTATCGAATCGGACATTGTCATAAGACTTGCTCGCACTTCCCGCTCTTGTAATATCTGGATTTACTTTTGCGATTTGAGAACGCGTTACATTTGCCAGCGCGCCATGCGCGTTGCGACTGAGGCAGTCACCAATAATTCTTGTCGAATCATCCATAGCGTTGTTGGTCTCAAAAATAAGCATTAACAATAATCCGTTGGTCTCCGCTTGGTCTGACATCGAAGTCGGTGAGGATGCTGACCAGATTTCTTCGCATGCGAAGCGGCTCATCTTTGCCAGGCAAGGCATAAATTGCACTGTCTTCTTTGTCGGATGGTCGAGAGCATATAGATACTCGGCCGATGCTAGAGCTTGGACATCCAAAGTTTCGTACAGTGCTAGATACTCGTTTGGCCCATGTTCAGGTTCGAGTGCGCGATAGCGGCGCGCGCTTTGAAAGCCAGGGAGGCATACACGCTCGGGAAGGTGTTCGTTGGTCCACCAATCGTTCAATGCGTTCTCATCAGTTGTGGTAGGGTCGACCGATCCCCATAGAACGAGAACACCCTTAGACCTCCGAGAGGAGACAACAGAAGATGGTGATGATGCCATGTTATGCTGCTTGACAGTGCGGGATCTGCAACGGCTTGACTATTGATGGTACTAACAATAATCGAATTCCGCACAAACCAAAGTCTACTTAGAGATGCGAAATGCACCAAAAGGTACGGGAGAGAAGGATGAGAGGGTGCGTGCGCGCAGTGCGCCTCTTAGGATGGATTGCCATGTGGGGTGGTAGGCTGCCGATTGTTCCTGCATGTCCCCGCATCACCAAGGCTATTTGACCACTTCACTGGGGTGACATGTTCACAACAACCCTATGAACCCAGTACACACACGAATTCAACAAGTCATCCGCGTCGCGATATTGCAGCCTTGGGGAATTAACGAGCAATTAGCAGTTTAGGTTATCGTCCATCAATGTCGACCTGAAACTGGCAACACTCCGGCCTTGGTCGCCTAGAAAACGTCGCAGTCTCATTTCGCCACGGCGCGGCGCATAGCCGATGATATGCTCCTCGGGTCGCAAAGCCGGTCTTAGAAGGACATTGGATCTTAAAAAACATCAGGAATGAAGAAGATTCTCACCTGAATTGATATCTGTATAGGTCTCCTAACTATCCTAAAGGCGTTTACTGCATTCCGATATAGTAGGAATGCAAATGTCGAACAATCATGATCCGAACAAAGGAACATCTTGGTACATCCAGGCCCCGGTCTTCGGACATAGTGTCACGAGTCAATGGCCCGAGAACAATAGCATCTGGAAACCATGCTGGTGGAAAACCCTCTATCAAGTTCGTCCCACAGGCAGTTTGGATATGACAACGCCACGGATGCTTGCCTCCGAACTAGGCTCCTATCTTAATTGGCTTGTAGGCTTCGTTCGAAGGGCATAGTCTCATTTCCTACAAGATGGCCCACACGGCTAATGCAGATCAGCACTAGCCTGAAGGTCTTTCGCGGCAGCTAACAAAACAAGCTTCGATTCCAAACTCAGGGGAAAATAAAAAGAAGCAATGCGCCTCCTCGTAAAGGCGTTTGCACTACCGTCAAGCCTCAGCTCGTATCGTCACTCGTTTTTACGACCACACTCCTTTATACCCAATCAGTCGTTCGTTACATTCGCAAAGTCTATTTACCATACCCTAATATAATCCTTGCTTTCTGAGTAGACCCACCAAACCCACCATGCGTCAATCCATCGCTATTCTCTCCATCCTAGCAAGCGCGGCTTGTGCTCAAGACGTCGTCAGCTTCTTTTTCCCTGGTGGTACGTGACTCTAGTTCCAACACCGGCACAGATCAAGTCTAATTCGCGTAGGCTACGATGGCGTTGACCCTGTCGCGACCATTAACGCCGTCAATCCCTCCACTACCGAGTTTCACATCGCCTGCCCTACGGATACCGACGACAGCGACGAATGTGGCTGGGGCCCAGGCCTCGATGTCACTATCCTCTCCCAAACGCGCTTCCAAGCCCAGATGTCGACCGACGTCGTATCAATGAGCCTCGGATGCGACTACAACGAAAAGGCAGTTGAAATGACTTGCACGGTGAACCAAGTAGGCGGCAACGACGACACTGGCGGTGAACCTATCACAGCGACGCTCTCCAGTGACGACGTGAAGTTTCTCTCTGCTACTGTTGTTGCTGGAAACAGCCTCTTGACTGATGCTGGAAGTGCTATTCCTAGCATGACTGAGTTCGCGCAAGGCGGTAGCACTATTGCTACTACAACAAGGAGTGCCAGTGCAGGTCTGATGACCCCCAGTGGATCTGTCATGCCGACCAGCACAATGGCTTCGGCTTCGGCTTCGGCTTCGGAGGCTACGTCTGCTGCTAGTGGCTCCTCCTCGGCGTCTGTGTCTGCGCCTGAGAGCACTGGCGCGGCTACCAAATACGGTATTGAGGGCTCCGTACTTCTCGCTCTTGCCGGTGCTGCTGCGCTGAACGTCTGGTGAATGTGTCAGTAGTAGTTGTGAATGATGAGTAATTCTTAATGAAACGGATGGTTGGTGAACATGATGCGGCTTATCCAGTGATTAGATACCCAACCGTGACTCGTTAAGACATGGCTTACTGACCACGTTCCGAAGCTTTTGGAAACAAACGATGCACCGATGGTTCACATGGCGTAATTGTAGTAATGTTCACCCAAACCAGAAAAATGGCGTTCTTGTGCTTGTGTATCAGTGTAATGCGTGCGCAAGTGTTCCAATGACGATAAAAACATCGAGATATGTTAGTACACGACTATCGTATATCTTCATCTCAATGCTCGATGCATCCTTGGGTTCCATGTCGAACAAGGTCATCCGTAGTCTGCGCTCATACCACCGAATTCACAGTGTTTGACGTACTGTGCCTAAGAGAGTAGCAGGTTTTGTTTGAGGAGCTCGAGGAAGAAGCTTCTGACAACACACGAGACATTGCTCTACGTTTGTGGTGCTTCGGTAGTCTTCGAAGCAGTGCTGACCGACGATATATCTGCATGGTAATTTGATGGGTATACACTCAGGTGTTGCGTCACCTTCATTCCCATCGCCTTCTTTGTGTACAAAGTATTTGTGCAGACATATCCAACAGTCTGGCTCGATGTCATTGGCGGGAGAGGCAAGAGTAAACTGCCAAGAGTATCGTGTACTAAACAGAATGCTGGAGAATGACTTTGTTTCAATAACCATCACGGATATTGAGCTTTGCAAAGGTTGAGGGAAAGGGCGGTTGTGTTGAAAGAAAACTCGTAGATTCCTGGTCTTGACTGGGACATCCATGTGGCCAATCTTGAAGTCTTTGACCTTTGTCAAAACACAGTGCTAAGATGATGATTTGATAGAGATGAAGATTGGGTGAAGACCATAGTGCATGCTTGCGACATACTCGTTGGTACCGGGATGGGTCGTTGACTTTGATTCCATGGTGTCACGCGTAGCCTTTTTTCACACCACAGTTGAGTTGCAACAGAATTCTTCCGAAGGTGAACCGACAATCCGCGGGGGTGTAGTAATTCAAAACGAACCGAAACGCTATTAGAATGTTATGAAATTGCACTAGAATTAGTTGAAGCGAATTACACGTCTGTATAGTTCGAGAAGTCTCTCTAGCCATTATAGAGTTCATTCACATTCTCTGGTTAATTCCTTGGCAAACAGTCGAAGTGACCGAGAAGTCGATGGAAAACTCAACTGCGGATCGGAAGTTGTCTTTGATTTGGATTAGAACAGGCTACAGTCTATGGTTATCCATCTGTGACACAGTAGTGGAAGCAGATACTGCAAGATAGAAGAGCTTCAATATACTTCTTTTGATTGCGTTTACCACCTACGGCCGTCGGTACGTGAGAGCAGGAGGCTATTGGCCAAGGCGACGCTCTAGAGGTGAGATCGGAACGGAACAAACATTTTGTGTTGCGTTCCGGGAGCCAATCGATTTCATCGCGCCGGTGGCTAAAGGTTCGTCTCTCCTCACCACAAGAACCCTCGCAGACCGGTTGAGTCAGACCATCCCGAGATCCTGGAGGAATTCGGATCAGAGCCCATGGCCACGTCGCATTCCAAGGCTGCGATACTCCGGCTTCCCGAGGAGCTGCTGGTCCACATCACAGAGGACGTCGATATCACCGACCTCCATGTTTTGTCAATCACTTGTCGACGCATACGCCCAATCGCGCAGGAAGGCCTTGTTCGACGAGCAACTCTACCACTCAAAAATGTTTGGAAACTGGTGGACTTACTGCAAGCGTACTCAACCCTAGTCATATCCTTTACTCACCTTCGACTTGGTCCCATTTCGGAGGATGCGGCGCGAAACATAGTCTCCAACCACAATGCCGCTCAGAGACCTCATATGATACACGGAGATTACTCCATATGTGATACTGCTTTCAAAGAGTCTAGGTGCACCTCGGCTGGAATGAA